TGGAATTTGGCCAAAAATGTGCAGTTCTGACCCAGTTTCTAATTTTGCCAGACATCTGCAGTTAAAAGGTGAAGGTTATCAGCATAACTATAGAAAAAGATTTAATTCAGAAAGACGGCTCAATCTATAGGTATATTTTATATTTCCTTCTTGTTTCTCTTCACAAAATTCTCATTTCTAACCTACTTTTTTCTAGAAATTAAAACATTGGCAAAAATACTTGCCGAATATTTCATTGTCCCCAAGTAATGTACAGATAGTAAAAGCTTTACAGAAAAAAATATAATTCCTTTTGAACAACTGTGAGAAATTGGGGGTCCATATTTTTTTAGGAAAGAAATGCATACATCTTTTTTCCACTAAAAAGCGAGTCAGCTAAAAGCTCCCTGTTTAAAGGGCACCCATGTAAATAAATGTGTATTCAGTATCTTGTTGCTTAATTGATTGGAAATGCATTTTAAAATATTGCACAATGCCATGGGGCCTTCTTAGCAGGACAATCACATCCTTTCAGATTTAGTTGTGTCTTGGTGCCACTGCTCCCTCTTTAAAAATAATATACTAACAGGGGAACTTAGTAATAGCAGAAAATTCCATGGCTCAGAATTATAGCAAATATGCGACACCCCACGGATTTTCTATATCATAAATTCATGGAAAGAAGAGAGCTGGAGAGAAAGTGTGTGAAAGTTTAAGCGTGTCCACCTCAATTCTGTGCCACCCCAAACAGGTCTTCAGATCACAATAAATATTAGGGGGAACCAGCAAAGGTGAAACTTCACTACATTAGACTCCTCATTCTGTGTTTCGCTTCTTGGAGTTTGCTATTAATATTAATCGTTGACATGGAAGCAATGACAAAATATGGACACTGTCCATTGCAAACCGTTTTAAGCCGTTTGTTAAAAACGAGCCAGTGTCTTCTTGCAGGAGGAATTAATAGTGGTGCAAGAAAGCCAACGTGTCCCACACATTAAACTTCCTTTACGGGGTTCCCAGTCCGTTGCCAAATTTCTTATGAAACACAAACGTTAAAACATTTGGGGTCACAGTTTTTCCATGTAACCACTTCTGTACTTTACTGGCAGCTGCATGGAAAATGGTGACCTTGCTGTATTTCCTATAAATACTGTATTTCCTATATGTACTTTTTCTGAAATGTTTTATTATACTGTGAGGATCAATTCAAAAAGCAGGGGAAAGGGCGGGCCGGGGGGGCAGAAAAGAGAGACAGACTGACTTATACACTGGATATGCATTGATGTATATTTTACAGTATTTGGAACAGCAACTTCAGCCTTGTATGCCATTTAAAACCCAAAACATCAAAATGCTACACTTAATTTTTTTGCCATTTTAAAGGTTATACTGGAATCAGCATTTAGTCTACACATATGAGACTAAATTAGGACAATTATGGGATACCAATATATAAATTTACATAGGAAGACTGAGAAAGTGCCTTGGATTATTTCAAAATAAACCTCTTAATGAAAATAGAGGAAATGGAGAGTTTAAAAAAAGCATAACGCCATTTTTAAAAATTCACTGCTAAATGGTCAGTTCATTTTTTAAAAAATGCTCATAGCATACAACATTTCTTCAAAAATAGTGCGATGATTATTCTCATTTTCCACAATAATGTAATGTTTGGATGCTATAATTCCAAGAGATAAAAACTGGAGAATAGTTTGGAATAGATGCCTATTTTGTAGTTATAATTCTTACTGGAAAAAAAAAAAAAGAAATATTCCTCTAATCCTACCTTCCTAAATCATAGGATTAATTTAAGGTTTTAGAAGAAGTGAAAGAGTGCAATTAATATTTTTATTTTGCTGTCCTGCTATGAGGTTTTATATTTAATGTCACACTGAATTGATTAAAATTAACTAGTGGATAACAGATGTTCATAAATTAAGTTCCAAATATTAGCTATTTAATGGTATTGGAATAGGTAACCTTTGCAGGTCCGTAAGGTTTAAAAACAAGTGACATAATGAAGTATTAACTTTTCATCATTTGCAAAAATTAAATCAGTATTTCAGAACAATTCCACTAACATTGTGGACTTGAACTTGTCCTTGGAGATTGTTGTGTAAGCTAATGCTACAAATCTACAAGAAAGCAGCCGAAATAATCATGCAGACCATGTACTGGATAATCCAGTATGTTCATAATTATTTCAGCATTTAGGAAAATGTGATAGAACCCGTGTTTAAATGGCCTTCCATGTTCATACCTCTTCTAAAGAAAGACACTGAAAACACTTGTGGACGGTCTCCATCTTGAAAGGAGGAATTAAAAAGAAGAAAAGCAAGCGTACTTAAAAAGTAGAGAGACAAAGGAAGCTTAATGGAAAGGCGAAGTGCAAAGCTCGACTTTTTTTTAGTAGCTGGTGAAGCGCCTGTTTTAAAACAGGAGACATTGTTGTCAGGCTCGGTAGCTTTCATTTCCTTCTCGGCGCTAGTTGTTACACCGGCTACATTGTGTGCTTCGCTTCGGCCAGGAGTTACCACTTGAGTTTTCCTGGTCGGAAAGGTGGGGGGGTCTTAGCGCCAGCAGTGCCCTGCAGGTGGACCCGGGGCCAGATAGTCGCAGCTGCAAATTTATGGGACTGGAAAGGGCGAAGGAGAACTTCTGTTGGGGGGAGGAGGAGGAGGAGGAGGAGGAGAACGGGCAGGTCTGGGGCTCCTGTGAGTTGCCAGAGAGGCTGTGGAAATGTACCTCGAATTAAGACCCAGGCAGTCATCGCCCACTCCTGACGAAGGTGCCTTTTGAGGGGAATTGGGCACAGAGGAACGGAGGGAAGGATCTGTCACATTATCACACACCCGAGTGAAGACAGCCAGGCCAGGGGGTGACCGAAACCCTTGCAGCGACCTGTGCCGGGCCCGCGACAATGCCTGGGGCGACAGTCCCACACTCGCTCTGTCAACGTGGGGAGAACTGCACTGGCCGTACCTTTATTTGCACACCCCCTGGCAAAGCGTCTGCCTAGAGTAAGTTCCCACGACCGAATGCTGCAATTATGTTTCGGAAGGTCTGGGGGGTTAATCAGACTCGGAGCGTGTGAAGCCCCGTGTGTGTGTGTGTGTGTGTGTGCGTGTGTATGCAAGTGCGTGAGAGCCACTCATTTCCAAATCCACTAATAGAGAAAAATTGGCTATCTATTTATAAGAAGAAAGGGGGGTTTCAATTGGTTGATTGAAATGGCGAGATGTGACGCACAAGGACAGTTGGATGGGTAGAAACGCCGAGGTATGCCAAAGTGGGCACGCCGAGCAGCGGTGTGTGCGCGGGTGTGCAACAGTGCAAGGAGGAAAGAAAGTTGCTAGGCCTTCCCCGTC